TTATTTTTAGAAACCTCTTCTGCTCATTAATCTCGACACACCACATTCTCTCGCCATCTTTCTTTTTACCGCCATTTTAATAGGCGATCACATGGAATTTATTTTTCACGTCTGCATCTGATTATCGACTGTGTTAAATTAGGTAGGTAACTTGATTGTATTTTGGTAGGTTGGTGTATATTTGTAGCATTAATCAAAGGGTATGATATAACGTCTTCTTGAAGGATGGGTCTATATTCCATTCCTACGACTTTCTACCATGTAACCTTTCCAACTGAGAAAACAATTCGGCATTTTCTAGACAGATGATAATTTATGATCTATTCTATTTTTGAAAAAAATCATGTACTCTTTCATGAAGTTGAATTATTTCTCGAAAAACTATGTTCATATTTTACATGAAACGTAGAGTTTTTGAGATTATTCAATAATATCCGTCCATCTACAATTCCAAAACTTATGTATATCGGATTCAAAGACCCTTATTTAATTAAGATAGGAAATCTGTGGGTTCTTTGTATTTTAAAAATTTATGTGCAGGGCGAAGTATGGAAAACTGAAGAAGACGACTTAAAGATTACAATATTTGCAGAATTCGACAAGATAGTGACGTCACACTTCTTAACATTTAGTTATTATAAACCGTTAACTTATATCTACATAAACCAAAATGAACATCAATTGAAAGAAACAAGGCGAAGGTTAATCAGTAAAGTATTTCTAGGATTACCAATCTTACCAAACACATGGTTTAATTATTACCAAGCCAAAACAATTTAACATGAAATATTTCAAACACGTGGTTCAAGGTTATCTAGATGACTAAATTAGTACAGTTCTATCCAAGACGTGGACGCTTGTTAAATGTGATCATTGATGATTAAATCAGTTATGTTCTATTCGAGCCGGAAAATCAGTTTTAGGCTATGTTGTTGATTTTAAGTTTTAATAATTGCAAACCATTCAGTTATCATATGATCTCTTCGTTACACGCTACCTGATGGTAGCCTACTCGTCAGTGGTTATAACCGAGGTCGGCCAGGCTTCGTCTCCCTACCTTGCCTCTGGTCCTTTCAATAGATTTGTCTTTCTTTTAGGTAATGTCAAAATAGTTTCATCTTTTAAAGAGTCCACGTTAATTAAGTGACATTCAAATTGATCTAGGTGCTCGTATAAATTACGTACTTTCTGATCAGATGTGGTCCTGTATGTACTGTTCTAAAACAATGACCTACCATGACCCTATCGCCATTAACCACCAAATGTTTCAGATTTCTGGACACTTTTTGTCTTCTTTACCGCCACCTGATTCAATAGAGTCAAAGAAAACACCTAACATACTTTCTTTATCTCCCAACACTAAAGAATTCCATTTCCAGTTTTCTCTTCAGGCAATTACTCGAGATTCTATTGACACTTTGTACTGTGGCATTCTCACCTGTTATATATATTTTGCAAAGGTTTGCCAAACACAACTATCAAAAGTTCAATAATACAAACCTCTCGAAAAGAGGATGACTCTTTTATGTGACTCTGTGGTCATTTTCAAAGCGTTTTTATTGGCTTTTTTTTATCTTTACCTGGAAAATAGCATTCAAGTGTTCCCTTTGTCTTTGTGTTCTTTATCGCATGTCTTGTCAATAAAATTCGATTTTTGATGGGATTTTAAAGATTTTAGTTTTAGAGGAACCACAAACTTTCGACTGACAATTTGAATGATTGAAATAGATTCTATCAGTGCATCAAATGCACAAAAGTTTTGAATCCCTTTCATTCAAACTTACTTACAATACCACTGACCATATTTCTGAAACATAATCTCTTTATTCAGAAGAATCTCAACACCACTTTCTCATATTTATCATTGTGTTGACAATTCACCAATCTCATGGCGAGTTAATTGACAATTAATGTATTTATTGTTTGTTACCTGGGCATTGTTCTATAGTTTGAGGTATACTTGGTATTGCTGACTCAGTGTTTGTTGTCTAGAACACTGGTTCAAGGCAGTTAGCCTATTGGTTCGATATCCTACTAAGAAGAGCTAAAAGTTCAAAAGTTAGGCATTATCAGTTAAAGATGTGATGCACATTCTTACCATGTTAAATATGACGTCATATGGCCCACATTTTGAATATGTTCATCATTATTGTACTTGTCTATCAGTAAATGGTTCCCTCGTGCGTCTTATACCACATATAAAATACACTCTGCTGTTAATCTGGGATTATACTGTGGTTAGTCCATTAACATTCTCAAGTTTTGAAGACATAATTTTGGTAAGAGCTGTGGCAGAGTTTTTTTTACTGTATTTTACAATTAAAAGTAGCAAAGCTTTCCTTTACCGTACTTTCTGTCACTGTCAAATGAAATTAGATGTAATGGAGTTTTACATCCAACGTTTCTGTTTCTTTTTTAAAATCGGTATTACCCCATTTTTTCTTTTATGTCCAGCCGACCAAGAATGTTTTAATGATCTCGGTTTAATGTCCCGACCTGTATGACTGATGGGTTGAAAAATCCGAAGCTTGACCAATACCGGAATCGAAGACCGAACTTATGGAACAATTTATTAAAGCTGCTGTTTTCGATAGGTCTAATGCCCAGTCAAATTGTCAGTTGTAATTTACCTATTCCGCCAACAGTTGCAATTAACTTGTTCCATCTCAATAAGGATGTATCTCCAATATTAACACGCGGCCTTTCCAACCGCTTCAGGTATCTTGAATTCTAGGCCAAGATGTATTTCAAATTTGTGTAATCTTAGCCTGAAGGAATCAGGTAAATTTATTTGGTTAAAACAGTTATCGATACCAAACATCTGTTTGCCGCGATATTAGTTTCAATGACGTCATTAAAGTAATAAGATTACAGGCCCGCAGATGTAAGATCTGACGAATATTATTGGCTATTAATAGTTGAGATTTGGTGAATGTCTATAAGTTGATCAAGATAACCTCAATATATCAGTTGATGCTATAAGATGGTATTTTTTATATCAAGACGTTCAGATGGTATATTGGTTAGTACTCACTCAGTGTCTATGTAACTGCAGATGTTAAACGCGGAGACTATCAATTAATCTCACAAAATACATTTGTTGATAGGTCTTTGGTTCTGCCAATATCAGACCTACTCCTGTACCTTTTGCATTAGAAATTAGAATGTCCACATTCTTAGGTCTCTAAAGAGCATTTTGGTTATGTGAAAGGCCGCCATTTAAACTATCATTTTTGATCAAAATTTTGTGGTAATCGGACATCTGAGGGCAATGTTTTAAACTTTGATAGACCATTGCGCACTTTGAATTAGGCCTACTTGATGTACGGCATAATTTTAAAAAAATAAACAACCTTTACATACTTTACAATAATAAAAAAAAGACCTCTAGGATTTGTTTTGATTATGAACCTACTTGTTAAATTAAGTGCTGGTTCTCTACATAATAAACAAATTCAGATCCATTTTCAATATTTATACAGTTTTTTATAATTTCAATTAAGCTGGGGTACAAGTTGTTTTCTAACATTTTATAACCCCAACAGACTCTCCCGACAAACAAAAAAGACAAGATGGAAACACAAATGTAAGCTATACATTATGTAAAACGTATAAAATGGTATCTTAGTTTTTTCGGAGCAATGGAATTTTTTAATCGGAACGGAACGTTGATATGTACAGCCTTTGTCCTAGAAGGTTTTCATCGACTTTTAGACATTCAACTTTATCTAGACAACAAGGACTACATTAATAACAAAGAGTGGTAGTCTGCCAAAAGACACTCATCCTTGAAATAGTCATAGATTTATGACCTGATTTTAAATATCAATTAGAAAATGGGCTGGGTTCACGATGTGTCAGAAGAATTCTTTGAAATTTCTTTGCATCTGATAAGAGAAATGAAGAACATTTTTGTATGAACAGTGGTATTTCGTATCGTAATTTGTAGCCACTGAGTTAATCGTGCTTCAAAAATTCACATAACCAAATATTTGGTATGTGCTTTGATGAAAATTTCCGGTCTTTGTCAGTCACATTCGACATCGGTATCGGACGTATTGGTTTGAATAAAACAAATGCAGATCAGTTTCACCTATTTGGGACGAAAGTCACTGCTGAACCAGAAAAACTCTTTGTACATGTAAATACACAGATCGTAGGTAAATAGAGCAAGTGTCTAGTTCTGGTTTACTGCCATCGATCATTGGAAGCAGTAGTTTTAATGAGTAGTTTGCTATAAGATATTTGAGACTGAAATAAGTTGAAAGTTTCCACCCAATATCTGAACTGATTCATTACCAGATAATGTATGAATGGTTCTGTATACATCATAGTCTAAAAATAACTTCAGAACATAAATACCTATCATCTTATCATTATGAACATAGGTTGTAAACGAAAACTGATAACTTTTAAACTTTATTCTCCGGTTATTAGGTTGAAATGATTTTAAAAAGCTAAATTTAGATTTTTCTGTCAGCTTTATTGAATCTCCACTTGAGGTACAACAAGTATAATCACCAACGGTGCTTTCTATTTTTAAGAGGGTATATGGCCGCACATTGATTACAAGAACAGCCAGGCATTATTCCGAAGCCATTATTACCAAAGAAAAGCGTCATGACTTAATTTCTTCTGTGGGTGCCATTTTAAATATTATACATAATATATTCGTGTGTTATATAAGAATGTGTTGAATACTTACAAGACAAGTGTGTTATGTCATTAGTATTGCATGGCATTGTATATTTACAATTATAATTTATTATTATTGAATATTCAGTTAGTTAATTGTGTTATTGTATATAATGTATGTTATTGTATATTTGTTTGTCGTTGTGTAAAGTATTGTATATTTATATGTATTGCTTACTGTTAATGTACATTCACTCCTGTTAGTATTTTATTATTGTATATTGATGTATTTTTTGTATATTTTCAGGTATAGAAGAAGATTAGAAAGAGAAAGATATTATACACAGGGCATAGATCTCACTGGCATGGCGACTACAACAGCCGGAAGTAAACTCGCCCAGGAGATCAACGAAGAATTTCTGACATGCAAGATATGCCTGGAGCCTTTTAAATCGCCAAAATGTCTAGATTGTCTGCACACATTCTGCGAGTTGTGTATCGACAATCACGTGATGTCAGAATGTACCTATAAGAAGTATAGTGATTATCGTGAGTTTACCTGTCCTCTCTGCCGGAAGCGCACTCAACTACCGATAGGTGGCGTCAAGAAACTTCCGGATAATTTCCTTGTTTCCAGTCTTTCAGAGGTTGTCCTCCGACAAAAACCGTCCAAATTTCCATTCTGCGATATTTGTAAATTGGTAAATCGCAAGCATCGAGAAGCCTCATCCAAGTGTTTGGACTGTAATAAATTATTGTGTAAGCAGTGCGTCGATCTTCATAAAGAAACAAAAGTCACAAAATCCCACAGTTTGTTCGACGTTGAGATAGAGAAGGATATAGAATGTAAAGAACACGCAGAAGAAGTTGTGAGATTTTATTGTGAACCTTGTGAAATGTGTATATGTGTACTCTGCACATTTAACGAACACAAGGATCACGAAATTACCCAATTCAACGAAGCTGTTTTGAAATATAAAGAGGCCATACAGACTTTGTTATCGAATTGCAAGGATCGCATTGACCTTTACGATTCTCAACTGGCCCATCTGAAAAAATGTGAAACTCTCATCAAGGCAGCTGAGCAGAAGATCAGGGATGTAGCCATCCAATTCATCTCGGATATCCGTAACAGAGAAAAATCATTGATTGACGAGCTTCATGAGATTTATGGAGAACAGGTGATGGATTATGTTGCACGACGTGGAGATATGCAAGTTAACCTAGATAGTTTAAAAAGCACGTGCAATTTAACCGAGCTGGTATTAAAGGGTAAAGATATTGAGTTATTGCTGTTGAAGAAGCAAGTCCAAGAGAAGCTATCCTGTCTGTCTCAAATTGAGCTGGAGGAGCTACCAGACTCCGTCCATAAAGAGGTAACGTTTAGTCCAGGGTGTTTAGAGCTCGGATATATCGACGATCCAGAAGTTCCCACGAGGAAAAGTCCAAGATTCAAGCCTCGTGGAAGTAACCTCCATATTCGCACAATAGAAACACAAACGGATCCAGATAGTCGTTTTGAGAAGCCGAAGCAGTGTAATCGAGCTCTTCAAGCTAACTCTTATGATATTGAGAACGAGACTGCGAGCCAGAATGATACTCCCGTGGATGATAAGAACATTTCGACTGATATTACTATTGAATTAGATGGATTCGATCAGAATAAGGAAGAAGAATCGAACACTACCAATACTAATTCTGCTCCCGATTCGAACTCATCACCTGCACCAAGACGTCAACGCCGACGCCGTGAACGACCTAAACCAGTTGAGGTATCTGTCCGTCCTACAACTTATAGCCCTGCTGTTGCGGAATGGAAACCGCGGCCCTATCGCCCCTTTCATTCTTTCGATAACGATTCCGATACAGCTTACGGTTGATGAACTTGACTATTAGTATTTTCAGTACATTTGGTAGGTTAGCACACTATTAAAGATTAATAAATATCCAATATAGGTATGAAATATACAAATAGAATGTTGAAATGGTAATACATGTAATATATTTTAACTGAAACGTGGTTGGATCTCCAATGTAACTTATGCCAAAGTGATAGATTGGAAAGAGTGCTCAGGTGTAAATATTTATAACTAATTTATAAATCAAACCATAGACCAAACTGTTAATTTATATTATGATAGATATTCAAAGTAGTCATTCCTGAATTTAGAATTAAAGACTTTAGGGCTTTTGTCATTAGAAATTCCTTTTCAGTAACTCCCGCCGATAGCTCTTTATTTTCCTTGGACAATGCGCCTGACCTAGTAACGACTATCAGATCACGAACGTACTTCAGAGCCATGTATTAAACCAAACTACTGTTCTAAAATGGAAACACGTGACGTTCCGACCAAGTGAAACAAAATTGCGTCTCAAATTCTTTCTTACAGTTAAATCGAAAGAATGTTGATTTTGTCAGGCTTAGTAATTTCAATGTCGAATAACTATGTTTGCGTGTGGTTTTTTATAAAATGTATTTCATGTTAAAATAGTTAAAAATAGCACTAAGATTATCGTTGTGATAACTGTGTCCTGGTAGATATCACGTTCCCTTGTGTTTTTTTTTTATTTCTGTATCAGAAACGGAAATGCGCTTCACTTGTTCTTGATTTTCAACTCTGACACCACACCGCTGAATTTGCACGCTTTTGTCGAAAAGTGTTTGGACGATATCTGTAACCGTGATATTTTACCCTGACAAACTAACCTAGACTTGAGTGCAAAATATTATAATCGTAATGTATTTTGTGAAAGAACTGAACTTCTTATAGAGCATCAGCAGAGCATACAGGATCAGTGTTGGCAAAGGATAAAACTGTATCGGCAACAGCGGCTTTATGATCTGTCCATTGCACTAACGTTAGCAGCAGACGGTTCTTAACTGTCTATAATTTGTATATATGGTAACTTCGATAGGGTAAAGTGATTTGATTAATTTTTTCTGTATTTTTAGAGTCATTTCGTGTTTTATGTTGGTGGTAAACAGAACTAGGTGCGCATTATATGTTTCGGTATTGTTGGTGTACTTACTTTTTGTACCTTCCACATTCGCTCTTTAAATAACAGTATCAGTTTTAATGTAAATTTCCAATCTTTTACCTCAAACTTGTACTATTCTTGACTGATTTTAACTTTTAACCTAATTCTTGTTACCCGCAATATGTCTTTATCATGTATCTCTCAGATTTAACTGTTGTTTGAAATATGTATGCAAGCATATAACAGCTCTCGCTCGTGTTGGGCTTGCAATTTATCTCCATCGTGGATTTCAGCAGTTGTTTTTAACTGAGTATGCGTGCTTTTAACAGTCTTTTTCTCAACTAAAGCCTCCGTTGAGTTCGTTCGGCTTGCTACCTTTTAGTCTCATGGTTTTTGAATCGTTGTTCTAACCCGTTATATAATGATAAAAACAGTCTTATCATCAACTCAAGCTTTCGTTGGAATCTTTTTAAGAAAGGTGGCCAGAGAACCGTGGTTTCTTTTTCAAATTAAACATGTTGCTTAAAATGTTACATATGCTTTTTTCTGCAGCAAATTCGTTTTTGATAGCATTTATAGTCGAAAAGAATCAAAGCATGGAAACTGCAAACTATGGATCTGAAAATATGAAATATTATTTTTATAAAAGCATGAATTTAATTTGCATAAAATATATTCTTATGATTTAGGTATAGAAGAAACAAAATTATAAATTTCTAACAGCAAGGGACATTACTCTTGGTTTTTCAAAGAGGAAATTGTGCATTTTAGTTTAGTTTGCAGTTTTTAGATAAAAGCCATATAGAAAAAAACATATGGCTTATAACAATGACGTCATACAATACAATTATTATTATTTTATATAAATATCTTATGTTCTGTTTATATTGTAAGTTAACATCTTTTGCATGGTTCTATGTAGCTCTTATTTTCGCCATTTCGCAACGTACGCTAGCTCACCAGCTGCATTTAGCGCGAATTCTTGTGCACAGCCTCGTTTTGCTTTCATTCTTTCGTCTATTTTCTTCTTTTCAATTTTAATTTTCTTCTGACCTGTGGTTGCTATGGAAACTCTCAGAATTAAACTGTATGCTAATAATACTGTTAAGTGTTGGTTCAATTTTTTGGAATATTGTTACTAACGGCAACTAAATTCAAATATTATTTTCTTTCTCCTTTAGGAATGTCATTGAGATTAGGAGAACCTAGTGAGTACTCCAATATTCCTAGTCCAATAAGTTCCAAAATACATTCTTAACCATGTTCGTTGTCAACCATAGAGTTCCATAAGCGACCACAGTATGACCATCTTGCCTGTTGGCGGCTGGGATATCTGAGAATGACGTCATGCTTTGCACGTACTGATTATTCCTTAAAACTTATCTTCTTAAACACTCTCGTAGATGAACATAATACTCTTTTATAGTAGAATACAAACTATATATAGTGTCTATCTTAGACTAGATCTAAATCTAATATTGTGATATACTCTGCCTTGACACAATTTATACAGATTGCGCCTCGGTTTACAGGAAGATGACAACATTGTGCGAACTGGCCGCATACCAGTCTTCAACAGAGATAAACCGGAAGTCAAGGACATCCCAGTAGCTAAGGTTGCTCCCGAGAAACCACGGGAACTGACAGAGAAAGACAGAATGGTACTTGAGAAACAGAAAGAGTTGGAGCGAGAAAGAAGTAAACAACGTCAGAGAGAGCAGGAGATGGAACAGACTCGCTCTAGAGAGAAAGAGAGAAGAGCATCCGTCACATCAACATCTACCATTGATCGCGAGAAGAGTGCTAGAGCCCACAGAATCGAACAAAAACGTGCTGAGTTGTCCCAACAATCCGCCTCGAGGCCGGCTGCGCCCCAACAACCCACCTCGAAACCGGCTGTGTCCCAACAATCCACCGCAAAACCGGCTGGTGATAAAAAAGATTGTGTCGTGGCCTAACCTAATGTATGAAATGGTATTCACAATTCAATAATCTACTAGTTGTTGTTTTTATATTTTTATACCGCATATTATTTGAGTAGCTTTTAGATTATTTTATAGTTCTATTATTACTACTTATAGAGGAGAATATAACGGCGTATGTTATTATGAAATTATTATAAGCGTTCATAAACATCATTTTGTATTGTATGATGTCATTGGTTCAAACCATCCTCCAGTTTGATAGGAAGGTTTTCATTGGATGAAATATGTTATTTTTAAGGCATAAGTGCAATAGTTTTGAAATATTGTTGTATATTGGTTTTGATTATATTTTTTACGATTTTGTAACAAATTATGTGCAATATTTAAGAAATGTGATAGTAAATGGTAAACATATTTAACTGCTCTTATGATCATGCATTATCAACACCGCTAATGCGCTTTTCGAAGATGTCAAAGCAGAAAAATGGCCACTTCCAGTCACAAGCAATATTAAATGTTTGGTAATGTTTCTATTAGTGTCATAAGAAATGGCTTATTTTCGAAATTTCGGTCTTTTGTTTTTGTTGCTTTTCGGTAATGCCAATTACAGACTTCAATTACAAATATCATTTTCATTCGTTATCCTTAGTTTTAATCTTTATTATCCATATTTATTACTTATATATTGGTTCATTTATTTATTCTGTAGTAAGCTACTAAATTAACTATATTTACTATTTATTATAATTTTTGTCTCAGATATTATTTTCGCTTAGTCGATTCATTTATGCTATCTCTAAACTCATTTTGCTATGCCAGAAACGTCCTTACCCGAGATGAACTATATCATTCTCGATTCCTGGTTGGTTTTAACAACGACTACAGATTTCTTGACCAATATGACTAATTTTATTTTCAACTTTTTAACCAATGTTGGTGTGGTTTGGTTTTGTGATAGCAGTTGAAAGTGCCTTTGTCGATTATCTCACAATCCGTCAACTGATCGTAGTAAAGTATACATGTATGTATTCGGATGTTCGAAATATTCCTTTGCAACTTGTGGTAGTAAGATGGTCGAACCGATATCGCATAGAAAAAATCCATGAGCGGTATATGGAAAGGAAATAACAAAATAACAACGTCACTCTCCAAAATGGATATCGAGTTCGCAAATCCAACGTAATTGCATAGAT